TGTAAGCTAGCCATTTATACTTTTTATACATCGCATCTGAGGTAAACAGTACTAGTGAGGCGGTGTTTTTTAGCAAGCTTACATACCTCGGACATAATGCGGTTTTTCTCCGATTTTGCAGGACAAATTATGCTTACTGAATTATCAGGACGATCGAAGCTCTTGCTTCTTTTGCAAAACAAATTACAGAATTGACCTCATTATAAACTTTTTTATGAAGAGAATTTCATGATGTCTGGACTGTTCAGTCAAAACAATACAGCCATTAGGTTCTTACTTTTGAGAAGCGCCAAATTTGCAGTGCCAACTATTGCTTGTTTGAACAACATAATAATAGCCTGAGTTAAAATCTCCTCTCCCCTAGCCCCTTAGGAAGGCCTGATACTCAGGCTAACATAATAAAGGATTTATAATCTTAATTCGTCATTTAATGGTTTTTTTATGTGTAATCGAGTGTAAAAGCGTTTAATACGCGCGGCATTTTGAGTACTCTGCAAGCGATGTTGATGTTCGACTGAACAACCAGCAAAACGATTTTAAAAAAATTGCAAGAGACACTACTAGCAATCAATAAAAGAAACAAAATTCAGGAGGACAAGTATTGACATTAAACTGTCTCTGAAAATCCTGAGTCATGTAAGCTTCAGCATATTATAAACAACCTTGCAGATTTTAAAAGGACGCGATCACAGTTACGCGCATGCGCGCCGTTTGTCTCTTCAGAATAAATTTGTCGGGTCAACACTAAATTCGAAATCGCCATTACTGGTACAATCATTGAAAATCCTTCGTTCTATTCCGTCATCCGTCGCTTTGGCTGGCCTAGTTATACTTCGGTAGTGGTGATTAACGTGTGGTTGTGTTGTTTGACTGGTTAAGTTTTAAGAAGACGCAAAAAATAATGTTTTGATCATAGAGGTTCAGAAGAGCATCGTGGCCGTCCGGCAACAGGACGTTCTCAAGAGTCTTTGGAGACAGAGAAGCTTGGCCGATCGATCTGGTATGGTTCTAGGAGTAGTGTGTGGCTTACGAAAAGAATACACGACACTTGGAAAGTGGTTAAAGCCATGAGTTCGTTCAACTTTGATTTGATTTTTGACTCCGACCTGTAGTTATACCGCAACAGGCCGCGCGATCTTCACCGATCTGATACACTTGAAATGTTCCTTGTATCTTTGCTTTACGATCGTATAAGAATTGATGTTTTTAAAATAAATTATTGCCTGAATATTCTGTTTATAATCTAGTTTCTTTATGTGTTCTACTCGATAACATTTGTTTTGCGGAACATTGACCCGATGCAACGCGGATGAATTTGTTCATTTGCTGATAAGCAATTGAAATTTATGCTCAAAACGAAGGATAATCTTTATGCTCATACGTTGTGTGTTTTTGTCACTGGTCAGGCGCTATTTGTAGGTATTTCTGGGTTTATATAAGGCGAACTGAGAGAAACGTAACAAAATGTTTGTTTACAAATTTTGTTTCCCGATCGGTGACTGCTTTGTTAGCGTGGGTACGGCCTCGTAAAAATACACGTTGGTAAATGTTTGTTTCAAAGCAGGACAGGGCTGTAAATCGTATTCTTATCGGCTGCAACCAGGCTCCTGCTGCAATATATATCTGAGGAGTAGCAAAGAATAAACTTGAATTATGGGGATATATAAAATTAAACCAAATGCCCGGAAATACTCTCGCGTCGCGAACAATGAATTTGAATTTTGCAAATTTCCTTGCGTGCATCTAACTCGCTTCCGATTGGTTTAAAAACAATCAGCTAATGTCAGAACTCACACATGTGCATTATCGGGAACCAGTCCCTTTAATATGCCCAACCTCATTTTCTAAGGGAAAAGCCCTGGGGACGAGGTTGATTTATGTTATAAGCCGGCTTTGCAGTGTTTGCTATTTTTCGAGATGAACTCGAGGCAAGAAAATCGCTCAAAGCTTTCTTTTTACAACCAAAGAACGTTTTCTTTCTATTTGCGTTCAGAAAATGTCTGAAGGCTTCCTCAAGGTGTTTGAGGCCTTGGTCAAAGGTGTGTTCTGAGTACAAGATTGGCAATATCTCTCGCTAGGAGACCTAGAACCAAATAGATTTTTCCAAAAAGTATATCTTGGGGTTTTCTTGTGCCTCAACGTTTAATTATGGTCACGTGAGATGTCACGTGACCAAAAATTAAAAATGTAGGAAATTGGCGAATTGGGGGCGAATTTACTTTGTTTGGATAAACTAATTGGCATTTCTGAAAGAGGATACACATACCTAACTTTCTACGTTTGGAATGAATGTACAAGAAGTTTAAAATTAAAGTTTTAAGTAATTCACGATTATATTTAGGCACTTAAAATGATATTTTTTCTCATAATTTTTTAGAAGTGCAATAGAGGGTCATTCCAAATGTGAAGTGTTAGAAATATTTAATATAAATTACCGAAATGTTTTTGCTCGATTTCTTTTCTTAAACAGGCCACCAATTGCTCAATAAATTTACGATTTTTAGTAAAATGGTCACGTGACATGCCAAGTGACCTATTAGCACAATATTTATACTTTAAAATGTTAAGGACAATGAGTTTTTTTATGTGTGCCAAATTTATAGTATCATATTGCACGCTATTCCTTTTTTCAAATTGTAACGTCTTTGCTTTTAATTATCTTATCATTGTATGTAAGACCATGAAGAAGGAAGAAATGTTTATTTGCCATTGGTAAAAGAAATGTATCAGTTCCCGACTGTAAAATCAGCCTTGCTTCTTGTGTTTCTATATTTCCAATAAAAGCCGGTGATTAGAATCCTTTATTACGATCCGGTCCTTCCTTTTTGTAAGTTGGTCCTTGCTTCCAAGATCGAAAGTTCTTAGCCACTCCCCATCTGAGAAGAAATGTAGAATGTTGTTCGCCTCTATCAACTTGACAATTCAGTGAAAACGTTTCCTGGTGTCCCTTCTCGCAAGTGGATCGTTTTTTTCTGTGGTGATCTTTTGTATTGTTTCTTACTGGTGAAACAAGTAGAGAACATACTAGATTCTCCTGCAATCTGATTTAATTCTCAGCCGCCATAACACAAGACAAACAAGATGGCGAACACAACGCACTCGCCACGTGTCCGGATGATACTTCGTGTAAGGTAGCCTGAGGCATACTCGTTACAGCTAGCATATCTTTTGAAGACATTTGCTTTTTTCATAAACTAAGTTCAATTTCTGCACAAAATTTCTCTTTAGAGTAAATCCCAAATTCCCAAACGGTCTCTTTCTACTATAAGGACGTGTCGGTATATGAAAGTGGAGGACTCCCGGTTGGCGAAGTACCCGTCTAGGGAGGGGTGCAAAAAAGAACCGTACGCGTACATCTTGCAGCCCCGCCATCCCGGGGTGAAATTTCTCAAGATTACTGACTTGTCGTTAAGTACAAAAAATTATGGGCAAAACGACGTGTTTTGGCTGTTAATGCTCTTCTGTTTTTTGCCCGATATATACCTGTGTGGAACAGGCTTCATTTACCGCTGTTATCGCTCCGTCTTTGCCAGTGTTTAAGTCCACAGCCAAAACCTATCTGTCAACACTTACTTCCTAATTATGCCACCGATTGTCACGATTACCGTGTGCTATTGGCAATTAACCGATAAGATAATGATGCTCTCACTTGTTACTCTTGCAGCACCATTTTAGTACCGTGGCTTTCTACATATTGTCCCCTGACTTCAAATGATACCAAGCCTCCGCCAAATGCAGTTAGTCATGGTTGTCCACGAATTTAACGTAACACAAATCCGATCCCGGTTAGGCACGTTACCCCAAACGTTTACATCGCAAAATGTTAGCCGGGCTGAGAGAATTGCCCGGTCTGGCAGACTGGGCAACCCGCCTCGAAAGGTCATCCCACCTGTCATCATTCTAAACGTTATTAAATTAAAATGAGAGATTTTATATACAGTTGGGTTACTAACCTGAGTGGGCTATCGCATTCACTTGGGGTTCCCCACCTCCATGTAAACAGGGGCCCATTTCTCAAAAGCCCCGGTAACTTTTCGGGTCCAAAATCAAATATTCAAATCGAAATTAAAAAAAGATAATAGCACGGGTCCTGGCTAGCAAGCTACTTCATTTTGTTTCATTAACTGATGGTTTTATCTTGTTACACAAAACGGTAAAAACGAAAGGTAAAATCCGACGTTTCGGAGTAGTCATGACTCCATTATCAAGGAATAATGTTTCTGATCATGCAAATTACAGCATTTAAAGCGATGTGGCGCGTAAATTAACATAACGGGGTGCGAAGATTATGAAAATACTTTCGCACGAATATTGTCTGATTAGCTCTGATTGCACGTTGAGATTTGGCTTTAAGGTTCTTATGAATCCTTGTACACGATTGTGTAAATGTCTGCGTGTGTAACCTACATAGCCTGCATCACACAGTTCACATTGGGAGTTATAAACTACACTCTGTTCATTTACGATCGGTGGCTTTTCTTCTTTCACATTCAGTTCTTGTTCAATTTTTCGGCGAACACAGGCTGGATGGTGGTGTTTACTTTTAGGCTCAGATCCTTGAGTTGTTCTTTCACAATATCTGCTGAGATTTGGCTTTTAAATGGTAAAACCACTCGAACCGTGTCATCCGTCTCTTTAGCTGGTGATAAAGGTCGCTGCTGGTCACAAACCTTTGAGTCAACGAAACTTTTGATGGTAGAGTTAACGAGGTGTTTGGGGTACTTTAATCGGTTACATTCGTCTGAGAAGTGTGACCAACAAGAAGATAAGCGATATGCTCGATCCAGCATAGTTCTCAGTAAACCCTGTTTGTACCGATTGTCAACATGAATCTAAGAGTGTAAGAGTAGACTTGAATTCGGGGGTTTTACGTAAACTTTGTCTCTATTTGAGGCAATCAATTCAGTAACTGGATGCCCAGAAATGGGAGCATACCATTGCATACGGTTTCCATCGTGAATTTTACGGAGGAATGTGCCTTGTTAAGCTTGTCCAGGAAGCTACCAAATAGATGTTGTTTCTATATTCGGTACGATAGTGAGCGTATCATCAACGTACCTTCGATAGAAGGAAGGGAGTTTACCCCCTCGCTCAAGGTTGTCTTCGATTGAAGACATGAACACGTTAGCTAGAAAGGGACCGAGTGGAAGACCCATAGCCACGCCATAAGTTTGTTCGTACAGGACTCCATTGAACTGGAACAGTTGTCCTTTTGTAACTACACTGAGAAGGTCCGTTTTGGTCAGGTTCAAGTCGTGCGTTGAATTAAACCAATTGTTGGTGAAAGCTCTGTCCTCGAGTATCTCTATCGTCCAAAAAAATATCATCTAAGGGTACGTTAGTGAACAGGGAAGACACATCGTACGAAACCAGAATTTCACCGTTTGCAATTTCCAGTTCATGAAGTTCGTTCGCAAATTCAAAAATGTCAGTTCCTGTGTAACTATTCAAAGACAGAGGCTTAGTTTAAAGTCGAGCCATTTCGCCAAAGTGTATTTGTATGTTTGCGTTGCTGATACGTATAGGCCGCATCTTGTTAGATGCAAAACTACTGAAACCATTATCTTGCTAGAAGCAACAACAGCTTTGCGGGTCCGTTCATTATCGTGACTTTCGAGAAACGGGTCCCAGGCCCTAAACATGTAAACACCAAACACCAACGCTAAGGTTTTCTTGTATTTTCAAGAGTTCTTACTCTGACACTTTGTCAAAAAACGAGTTGATGTCCAAGTGCCGCTTTGTCTTTACTTCATGCTTTCCTTATTGTGCGGTGAATATAAGGTGCTAGCTCAACCCGGATTGGTTTTTCCGGTGTAGGGCATGTGATGATATTCTAGAGAACCGCGTCTTTCAAATTTTGTGTTATTCTTTTGCACATAATTTACGAAAAGACAAGGGAAAATTCGTATGGGGCTTTCATTGTGAAGGAAAACATACAATCTCAAAAGCCAGAATACTGTATACAGGTATCTACAATATCAAAATTATTTTATTTTGTGTCCTTACTTTTTTAGTTGATTGAATATGGACTATAATAATCTCTCACTTTGTAAACCCTCTTTTTAAAACTCTTAAAAATACGTGAAATTGTGCGACTGACCTGCCTCGATTAGCTTAGTTACCTGTGGGTCAGTACAATTTTTGTAGATGTCTTCGTAATATATAAACGTGACAACGTTCTCTCTCGCTAAAATTCGCTTGCGATACAAGCACGAATACCTCCATTTATTACCTTTATTAACGCTTATCAATTAAAATTGTCCGGTTTTCAGTTTCAGGTCTTTTGACTTTGACAAGACATCAAATGAACATCGCCTTGGACCAAGGAGTATCGCTAGAAGACGAAGAGATGTCTCGTATCACATACTCACAGCCTACGAGAAAGCTTTCGAGAAATTCGGTTTTTTTCTAGCTAGGCAAAGGCCCTTGCACATCTTCTTCGTTTTACTAGTAATTTTTGCTACAAGCTGCTTAGGTTTCATTCGGATAAACGTTAAGCCGCCGTCCTCGAAACAATTTATTGTGACTGACGGCCAATCTAGAGTGGACTTAAAAGATGCAGCACAATTCTTTCCTCTTCTTGATTCACGTCAGGAACAGATTATAGTGACTTCTAAACGTAATAGAAACGTTCTAAACGAGGAATGCTTGAAAGAATCTTTTCTTGCGCACCAGGGTATATTGAACATTAGTGATTACCGAAGTTTGTGCGTCAGACGGCCTCCGTCAAATGGCGACACAAGAGCAACCGACGCACAAGACTGCATCGTCGGCAGTCCGCTGGAGTTAGCTGGTCCTAACTTCGAACGTTTAAGAAACTTTTCTTCAATTCTGGCTCGTGAGTGGAATAATCCCAGGAGGATACTTTCAGATGGTCAGTCATTGAAAACCTCTCACGCCCAGATACTTGGTAATTTTAAAGTCAATAATACAGCAGATCCTCCAACTTCCCAGGCTGAAGCTCTTCGAATTACCTATTTCATTAAAAATCCAACAAGTGAGGATGAGAAACAGAAAGTAAAAAGCTTTGAAGCGGCCTTTGAGAGCCACATCTCGTCATTAAGAGATAGATTGAAATGCTCATCGTTCTTTTACAAGAGTGGAAGAGCAACCGATGATGTTTTGCAACAAATCTTAAAAGTAGATATATTGGCGCTTTCTTTGTCAATATTAGTAGTTCTATTTCTTTCACTTGTTGTCATTTACTTTGTTTTCAGCAACTTGAGCTGTTTAACAACCGCTTTATTCATTTTCTCAGCTGCCTTGTTACCCTATGTATGTGCAGCAGGCATTGTTTCCATGGCAGGCGTTTCCTTACTCCCAACAACCATCTTCATTCCATTTCTTCTGTTGGGAAAATCAACATCAGACGTCGCTCTCTTCTTGGGAGAGTGGAGACGACAAAATATTGTACCGTCGCTTGAACATAGAGTCACCAGCTGCATTGCAAGAGTGGGAACTGTCCAACTCTTTTCAGCGTTTTGTGCAACCATTCTCCTAGGAATTACAATCAAATCTTCCTTTGAGGTTATATTCAATTTCTTTCTCGTGACAGTGGCAGGTTTTGCCCTTGCTTTGGTTGCGTCATTTATACTGGTTCCCACTTTAACAAGTTTACTCGAAAGGGAGTCAAAACCGATAAATTCGTTTTGCATGAATCCCAGTACCGAGTTTAGCCGCTTATTGCAAGAACAAAGAAAGGTAGTAAATAAAGCAGTTGGAAACGTTATTAAGAACTTGCCTTGTTGGGTTACTTCACTTGGTGGGAAAGTTCTTTCTCTCTTTGTCTTGATATGCTTCATCAGTTTCTGTGTCTTCTCTGCTCTACACTCAAGTGAAAGAATTAGTGCCACAGAAAACCTTTATCGAGAAAATGCTAAATTCAACGAGTTTACTGAAGCACAACAAATGTTTTTTGGCAAACAAACGGATGTAAGTGTCGTGTTTTCCCAGGAAATTGATTACTCACAAAAGATTAACCAAGAAAAAATGCTCCAGATCTGTGGAACTCTTGGAAAGGCTTCTTACAGTCACGAAAGACCAGTGTGTTGGATGGCTGCCTTGTTAAACAATAAAAACTCGAGCTGCACGAATTCAAAATTTCGCCAGTGCCTTCACAGATTTCTTAATCGATCTGAAAATCTACCTTATCGACAAGATGTGCGTCCTAACGAGAATAATGTCCGTTTTCCAATCTCTGCGTCTCGATATCACGTGAAGATGGCGCTACAGAAGAGTGTAAGTAAAAACGCAGGTTCGTTCGAGAAACTGAGAGAAGACTTACGGTTTTCCTTGAAGCCTAAAGCAGCGTCGAAGACACTGTTAGAGATTGAAGACCTTCTCTCTTTTGAAAGAGAAACTTTTCTTTCTCTCATCGTTGCTACAGTGGTGGCATTTGGGACTTGTCTGATGTCTAGTTCAAGTCTTAGGTTAAGCATCTATTCAGCGCTATCATTTGACTTACTTGTGTTAGAGACAGCAGCAGTTATGAAAATGTGGTCAATTCAGCTTAATCAGCTAGTCTTCACTTCCTTGTATTTAACAGTTGTTTTAGCACACAACCACAGCGTTCAAGTGGCTCATTCATTCATTTTCTCAGACAAACAAATGGTTAGGGAGCGCATGAATAAGGCTTTGGAATCGGTTGGTTTGCCTGTGGTTCTGGCAGGCTTTCTAGAGGTCTCAGGTTCCGTTTCGTTGGGATTTATTTACCCAAGCCTGCAGGACATCTTCTTTCGACTCATTCCTGTCGTGTTTGCTTTGGGACTGATCCATGCTCTGGCAATCCTGCCACCAACAGTCACATTATTTTTCGAGTTGATGGACAGCTTTAACTTCCAAAATATGCTACCTAACCAAACGAACCAGGAAAGGAGGAAAATGTCTATGCAAATTCGACATCGTTATGCGCCACAGGCGATATCTAAGCGCCCTGCAATATCCATTGTCGGTATCAGCTGCAGATTTCCTGGAGCAAACAGTAAAGAGATGTTTTGGAATTTACTTGAGACAGGAAAAAGTTCCATTCGAGACTTTCCACCACAAAGAGAAGAGCAACATCAAACGTTTTTCCGACTTTACCACCACAAGCGCTTTGTCAGTGGACGTCACTGTGCTATCAGGGGTTCTTACTTGGAAGACATTCTATCTTTTGACAACACGTTCTTCGGTATCTCCAATCAAGAGGCTTGTGCAATGGATCCCCAACAACGCATTCTTTTGGAAGTGGTGTATGAGGCTATTGAAGACGCCGGAATGCGGCTTGAGGATCTTCAAAGATGTAAGACAGGGGTCTTTCTGGGTGTAATGAACCTGGAATATGGGACTTTGATAACAGATGCATCAAATTATCACAATATCGACCAGTTTTCATCAACAGGTATAACAGCATCAATATTAGCAAACAGAATCTCATTTTGCCTCAACCTCACAGGTCCAAGTTTTGCGGTTGATACCGCATGTTCGTCTTCTTTGACAGCACTCAAACTTGCTTGTGATAACCTGCATAATGGCGATTGTGACATAGCGATAGTTTGTGCACCTAACATTGTCCTTAGCCATACCATGCAAATGTTATCCAGCATGGCTGGTCTTTTAGCGCCTGACGGGCGCTGTAAGAGCTTTGATGCATCTGGCGACGGTTATGGAAGAGGAGAGGGCTTTGCAGCAGTCGTTCTCAAGCTCTCAGATGCAGCTTTGAATGATAAGGATGATGAATATTGCGCAATTATTGCATGTGGTATGAACAATGATGGTCAAAATGCTGTACCAATGACAGCGCCAAGTTCAAAGACCCAGGCTGAACTATTCAGGATGGTTCTTGAGCAATCATGTTTAAATCCAGAAGACGTTGATTACCTAGAGGCTCATGGCACAGGTACTGCCATCGGTGATGTTATAGAAGTCACGTCAATCGCCGACGTCTATTCAAGAGGAACCTCTCGACAGCTTAAAATCGGATCTGTCAAGTCAAACCTCAATCATACAGAATCTACGTCGGGTCTGGCTGGACTCATAAAAGTTGCGTTGATGATCAAAAACAACAAATTAGTGCCAACTGTTAATGTGCAAGTATTGAATCCAAAATTGAAATTGAAAGATAAAGGAATTGTCGTGCAGCAAAAATATGAGTCTTGGGACACACAAGGCGGAAAACCACGAATAGGTGCCGTCAACTCTTTTGGTTATGGTGGATCAAACGTGCACGTTATCCTTCGAGAAGTTACACGACAGCCAAGCTTCAAAGATAATGATGGAAAAAGTAGGCGGTCACATCATATCCTCACCCTTTCTGCACGTTCTCAAGAGGCTCTCAAGCGAATGTCAAGATTCTACAGTCAGTGGTTGGAAGATGAAGGGGAGGATAATGCAACATTTTTGGAAAACTTGTGCTACTCATTGAAGGAACGTCGCGCTCAGTTTTCCCACCGCTTAGCATTTCCCTTCGAAGCTTTACCCGAGGCATCTAAGGTTTTAAAGGACTACGCCAATGAATCACTGGGATTAGAACAGAAAGTTGTCTATGGAGAGATAAAGAGAACTGATTCAAGGATCGTCTTCTTATTTGGAGGGCAAGGCTCCCAATGGTATGCTATGGGAAGACAGCTAATTGAGATGGAACCTGTCTTCAAAGATGCTATTTTGACTGTCAACAATGTAATGAAAGATCTGGGAATATCATTATCAATTATAGATGAGATCATGGCATCAGAGGAAGAATCAAGGATCGCAGAAAATTCCATCGCCCAGCCGGCTACGTTTGCAATACAGTATGCCACTGCAAAGCTTCTGATATCTTGGAGAATCTTTCCTTCCGCTGTACTTGGTCACAGTCTTGGAGAGATTGCTGCAGCATGCGTCGCTGGGATCCTAACGCTAAAGGAAGCCATTAACCTAGTGTTAGCTCGCTCCTCTCTACAAGATCAGTGTCCCAGAAATGGTAGCATGGCGGCTTTAGGTTTGTCCGAAGAATGCGCCAGTGCACTACTAGACGAGTTGAAGCTAACTCCTACTCTTTGCATTGCCGCAATCAACGGTTCAGATAGCGTGACAGTATCCGGTGATCGTCAATCAGTTGAAACCTTGGGTCAGCACATTGCGATACACGAAAAGGCCACTTTCTGGCGTGTTCTTGGAACAAAACGTGCATTCCACAGCTCACACATGGAATTCATTAAAAGACCATTCCAAGCAGCACTAAAGCGTATTTCGTTACATCCCAAGCTGTCCAAGATTCCAATGTATTCTACGGTTGTGGGAGAAGTCCTTTGTGGTCAAGAGTTTAACAACGAGTACTGGTGGCGTAACATTCGCTGTCCAGTTCAGTTTTACTCAGCAATAAAACATCTGCTCAAAGATGGTTATAGACAGATCATCGAAATAAGCACCCAGCCCATTTTAGCACATTATGTGCAAAAGATTGCCCTCCAAGAAAACTTGGAAGACCAAGCAAGGCCAATCGTTATGGAGACCCTTCCTCGTAAGAGACTACCTGTAAACGAGCAGTGCAAGTCTTTTCTTCTAAACACAGTGTGCAAACTGTATACACTTGGTTTTCCTATAGATTGGAATTGTGTGCAGACAATTCCTTCAGCAAAGTTTGTGCGCTCGTTAACCTATCCATGGCATAAAAACACCTTTTGGTACAGAGAAAGTCCACCCCAAACCGTAATCAAACCGATTGATGCGGCATCAAGATCAGAAAAGAAAGGTCACCCATTTTTGGAAAAAGTAAGGCAAACAAGTCTGTGTTCAGGCCTCCAGTGCTGGGAAACTGAAATTGACCTCCATCGCTTTCCTTTTCTTAAAGATCACGCTATTATTCAGGGGGCGACCGTGATCCCAGGTGCTACGTACCTCGAAATGGTCTTTGCCATGGCGATGGACCAATTTGTCCATGTTGCTGGCCTTGAACTGAATGATGTAAAACTCTCCAACCTCCTAACACTGCCTGAATCACAGGTAACTTTACTACAAGATTTTTGGTGTGATTTCTTCCATTTATAGCCTTTTGAAGTAATTTAGGAAAGTGTTAAAGAGAAGCCGCAGCTCCATCCATCTTCATTAATGGTTAAACTACACTTTAACTGTTGTAGGTTCGATTGTTACGACTGCGCCTCCAGAAGACTAAAAGGATTTGCGAGGCCGATTTCAACATAACAAACGTACAGGATGATCACTCAGAGATCGTCCTAAGCAGTGGAAGAATCTGTCTTGATCTTCTGCAGACACAAAAGACTGGTAGCCACAAAGGTAATCTTGATACATTTGTTGGACTTTCTTTTACATCAAGTCAATGTTGTAAAAAGCTCCTTAAACTGAAGATAAAGAAACAGTCACACAAGAGCCTAAGCAGAAACTTGTCTTCTATACTTCTTTCGCGCCATTGGTACGTTTTAATGAATTTTATATTTGTATTAGCCATTCATTCTGTAACTTGTCTGTTACAGGGACGTAGCTAGCGTTTCGGCTAGTTGTAGGCCTGCCTTACTTTCACTTCCACATATCCCGAAAATTGCACGCATAACTAGTACGTACTGACCTCACCAACACTTTGAGATCCTAAGCTTTTTAGCTCACCCCAACAACGCATAATTTAATACAAGCGGTAGAGGGATCAAAAAAAAATTTTAGGCCCGGGCCGACAGGTCCATGGGCTGGCTACGCCCGTGTGTTATTATATAGTTTTTCATTATTATTATATTATTACTGCATAATATAGATAGTCGTATAAACATAACAACTTTCTTTAATTTCCAGACATGTTTCGACGGTATATCTGTCATCTGCAGTCTTACATATTTTGAAATCGCCGTTGAATTTAAAGCGCGCGCGATCTTACAAAGTTCGTGACATTGCGTTGTCAATATTGCGTACTAAAACCAAAAAAAAATTAAATGAGTGACGCTTAGTTCTTTACAGGGAGAGCGTCAGGTTAATGTGTTTCACCTGCTGGTTGAGATCGGGCTTCTCCCATTTTATAGACATGGATTCCGTAAGCTTCACTTGGTACTTAGTGGCTGCAGCGTCCAGGATCTCGAAGCAATCCGGTGTGCAGGATGCTCTGCAAAACTCTGCACTCTGCAGATGTTTAAAAACGTTCGAAGACCTGTCTGAAAGTAAGTGCTCGCGCACTCGTAAGGAGAAGTGTCGGCTGGTTTCACCAATATAACAAGCATTGCAACTTGCACACGAAAATTTATAGACCTTACTCGTGCGTAGCCCCTCAGGGACAGCATCTTTCACGTTAAAAAGATTCCTGACTTTGAAAGTAGTAAAGACTAACCTTAAATCAATAGGTTTACATAACCGGTTAGCAAGTTTGCGTAGACTCCTCTGTACCGTCGAAACATGTCTGGAAAATTAAAGAAAGTTGTTATGTTTATACGACTATCTATATTGTTGCTGCTATCTAGACCTACTGCATAATAATAGTTGTTTATGATATATATTATCAGCATCTAACATGGCTGGTCCAGTGATAAATGAGATTCTGACAAGAATGGAGCGAATGCCGAATGAACGGTTCCGAAGAATAACGGAGAAGTTTGGATTCAACTACGGCCCTTCGTTCTCCATCATCAAAGAGATATGGAAATGTGATAGCGAGGCGCTATGCCTGATAGACATCGCAGAGGCACACACCATCCAAGATCAAAGTGAAAGTTATGTTGTTCATCCGTCTATTTTAGATGCTTGCCTTCAGTCCTGCTTTGTTACACTGGGAACCTCTTCGATGGATGATAAATCTATTGTGCCAGTTGGTTTCAGGCGTATTACACTCAATGACTTACCATCAACCAGCCAGTTATATTGCCACTTGACTGCGGATCTTTCCGAGTTCGGACGATTTGATGTGACACTTATGAGTCCAAGTGGCTATGTTTTTCTCTCCATGACTGATTTCCGAGTTGCAGAGTTAACAAGTTCACCGCGTCAAGCTCGTTTTGTAGATCTTGCCTACGACGTCATGTGGAGTGAAGCTGAGTTAACAAGACAGGAAGAGAGTGGCCCACCTCTGACTTGTATGGTGCTCAAAGACTCCTCTGATTTTTCAGATCATTTGGTCTCTTTACTTAAAGCTCGGGAAGTCAAAGTTATCTCCGTTAGTTCTCCAGTTGGTCGATGTTTTGAATCGGAAGTTCAAGACATTTTAAAAACCGCCTTTGCAGAAATACAGACGATTGATTCCTCTCTGTTGAGAGTTATCAATCTCTGGCCTTTGGATACATCCCTTCTACCCGACCATTTTGAAGTCATTGAGCAAGCTCAACAACTAACCTTTAGCAGCTCTGTTTTCCTACTTAAGTTGTTGATTGAAAAAGAGTTCATGGATTCTCGGCTGTTTCTCGTCACCGAGTTAACACAGCTTTTGAACATCTGCGACAATTCTAGTAAAGGTATGTCCATTCCATGGGGTGCTACAGTCTGGGGACTAAGACGAACAGCGAACCTTGAAGAATTTAACATAAGGGTTACCACCATTGACCTTTGTGATAAAGAAGATAAACGGGAACTGGACTCCTTAGTAGATGAAGTTTTAGGTGACAGCGTGGAGGACGAGGTGGCCTTTCGAGATAGACGACGTTTTATAAATCGCCTTGTCCCGTCAGAATTACAACGGGACACCTCTAAAACAGTTAAAAGAAAAGAGAGGAAGAATGAGGGACTACTATATCTTTCAAAAGTTCCTTTGTCAAAATCGCTTTGCCTTCGCGAGAAATGTATCCCAAAAACAACACAATCTGAAGTCATTGTAGAAGTTTGCTATTGTTGGACGCCCTCAGAATCACTCTTTGATGTGTCTAAACCAAATGGATGTGTCTTCGTGAGTGGAAAAGTCTCTGATCTCCCTGTAAATGGCGAGAGTACTTTGCAAATTGGAGACAATGTGTGTGGTGTCATTCCCTCTGGTCGTGTTTCACGTTTCATTTCAATACACGTCAGTAACGTGTTTTTGAAACCTTCCAACCTGACAATAAAGCAAACTACTTACCTTCCAGCATGCTTGGCGTTGGCATATCATGCTCTACAAAAAGCGACGTCCGGCACCGAAAGGCCAAAAGTTTTAATAAATGAAGCCAATCGTGGGGCCGGACCAGCAGCAGTACTTCTGGGAAAAACACTTGGTCACAGAGTGTACTGCACAATCTCCGACACTTGCAGCCAATCGACCAAATGTTTTCTTACCAATTTGGGCGCAGAGAGTGTAAAGCGACAGAGTTATCCGGCTTACAATGATAATACGATTGATCAGTTTGACGCTGTTGTGTTCTTTAACCCACCGCTTCCAAATGTCCTACAGAGGAGTGGTCTCAATCTAAAGAGCGGAGGAAAAGTAATTATCTTGAGTGCTAATTTTGAAGGCGATGTTGTCTTTCCAGCAAAGAAGATTTTCAGTTACGAGAGAGACAATGTATTAGACGTTTTACGATCGCCGACGGCATTTGAGAACCTAAGCAGGCAAAGCTTGCAAATTCTGGAGAGCAATGGAGTATCACAACAGCTTCTGGAAATGCCAGTTGAGTGTGTAGATTTTGCAGCTACACTTAAAGCTACCAATGAACTCATCGATAGAACATCATCTTTGAAAGATATAGTAACACCATCCTCGGACATTTCGTGTCTTATACAGTCACTTGCAACATTTGATAGGGAACACCTTCAGGGCATCCCAGTGCTACCCCAAGGCTTAGATGAGTGTGGTTTGAAAGAAAATAAATCCTATCTGGTTGCTGGGGGAGTGCGAGGATTTGGTTTTGAAGTGGCTCGATGGATGGCAGAAAACGGTGCAAAGTCCATAGTACTTCTCGGCCGCTCCATGCCCTCCGATTCCAAAATTCAAGAGGTGCGTCAGATTGAAAGGAGCACCGGTACAACGATCCACATAATTCAGGTAGGTATTCTTAATCTCCCAGCCTGTACAATAACTTTCCTGCAAAATAGAAATCCATTCATATTGGACGTTTTTTGGTTTTTGTTTTGCATTGTGTTTGTACATGCAGCATCCTAACCTTTTGTTCAGAAACGTTTTAAAGAAAATTTCCGTATTCTATGAAATTTCTCTCAGACTTAAGAAAAAAAATAAAAATGTGATACTTTCAACTTAATAACGTCTATTGCCAAATTAACCCTCCATACTTGTGGTAACATAACCCCCTGAGACAAATACTTTCGTTTATTTGTAATCGTAGCTAAACAAGTTTGAGATAAACAAATGAATTTTTTTGGCTTCGATTGAGGTGATTGTTAGAATTGATCACATACTCTGATGTTAGGCATTATTTCAATTAAGTAATGTAAAGATTCTAGTCCATTTTCATTTTTTTTTTCATTCTAGTGGCTACATTCACCTTAAAAAACCGATCTACAAAGGCTACCTCCTTACAACGGTCACGTACTGCCACCCACAAGCCCGGGAGCGGAGGCACTCGACTGAGTTTTATTCGGCGAGGTTCTGCCCCGAGGTCCAACCCCTTACTCTTTTACACACCATTTTGGACAGAAACGTTACTCCTTCCGTTTAACGTCTTGCCTTTCCCCTAACTATCCCTTTTAACCGCTGTAAATCTACTGTCCTTTTAATATTAATAAATCATCTGACCGGGAATTAATTCAAAGTTTATTGACTTTCTTTAAGCGATAAAACGCATTTTGGGTTCTTTTACAGTCCCGTAATCTTCTCCTGATGGGCCTAAATGACAAATTCCCTTAACGTTCTGTATACTCCAACAAGAAAAATCCCTACCCTTTCATATTCCTGAAGGCTGAAAATGATACCTCTTTCGGGCGGAGCTTCTCCGTATAGGCCATTACATGGAGTATCCCCAGGGTTTGTTGTTTAGGTTTCTGCTATCACTCCGCATTTCATGTTTACTTTGACGATGACCTTTTTGCAGGTGGATATATCCAATCAAACACAAATGTCGTCTTTGAAAGACCGCCTTCAGTCTCTTCCAGATGTCGTAGGCATTGTACACACTGCTATGGTTCTTAGAGACGAATTCCTCAAAGACTTGACATCACAGAGTTTTAATGAAGTTATGGGCCCAAAGATCAAAGGTAAGACGTCAAACTAAATCGGCCTATAGGTCTTACCTTTCACCGAATTACTAAGAACTTCGCAAAAAAGTTATTTGCTTTCAGAACAAAATTTCAAGAAATCTAAATAGACGTTTTGTTATTAACTACAACGTACTGAACTACATATTATTTTCCAGGACCTTTCAAACTAACAAAAAGGGGCCAACAAGAAAACCTCGCATTTCCTTTAGCCTCATGGTTCTGATGAGTTACTCTTAGATTTACCTTTTTTTCCTTTCTTTAATAATTGTAATGTACATATTCATATAATAGTAAATAAACGCTGGGTGATTGATTGATTGATTGAGTAATTGTCGACTAAAGCAAGATGCTTAGTTTCAGTTAGGATATGCCCAAGACAACAGAAGCAGCTCTTCAAAAATTTTAAATCGTTTTGGATGTTATAAAAGTTCTTTGGGCACAAACGACATTTTTTCAGTTCGGTGCAGTTTTCACTTACTTAATGTGAAAATTTGATTTTTAGGTTCTTTCTTGCTACACCAAATGAGCCTTGAAATGGATCTGGATTTTTTCGTGATGTTTTCGTCCATGGCGTCGATTGTGGGTAACATGGGGCAATCCTCATACTCGGCCTGCAATGCTTTCCAAGATTCTCTTGCTCAATACCGCAGGCATTTTCTCGGTCTTCCCGGGCTGGTAATAAACTGGGGACCAATTAGTGGAGCTGGTGTAATGGAAAGAGAAGCAGGGGTCGCGAGATTGCTTACGTTGGCAGGCTTGGGCTTTGTTGACGCCAAGGAAGGTAGGTTGAAACTTTCTGGAAGTGTATATAGTCTTTCAGCAAAAATATTGTTGAGGTTTTTGAATAAAAAAACATTACTACGGTTTTAAATATTTGTCACTTGGATTTCGATCAGTTTTGAGTGTCTGAAAGTTTATTGCTTGTGAACGTAATTATCTTTGAGGACAGCATAAAACGCAATTTTTAACTTAGTTTCTAAACTTCAGAGTTCGCGTGTTATTGAAAAAGCCCAATGATTAACTATACTGCGAACGTTTTTTAAAACGTTCGCAGTAACGTTCGCAGTCATGATAATTTAAAAATTATCATGACCTGGCATTCATAATCAGTCATAATTGCATGTCTTCTTAATTACAGTAGGGCTTCATTCAGGAATGGCCAACTGACTGCTCGGCATAGGTTGACTGTTTGATCAGAAGACAGATGTTAAGGCCGAATTTGCTGTACGAAAAGAAAATTAAATAAATAAAATACCAGTATTTTGAGTTACTTGACATCTGCTTTAAAAACATTCGAGGCATAGTATTTCTTATACTTCTTTATACTGTAGCTTTAATTTTTGGATGTATTATCTTCAAAGGTGTTAAACACATGTTCAAAGTGTTAACTGAGGAGCCAGGTCGCTGTCAGATCACATTACTTGATGTAGACTGGCCTCGATTCTTAAAGAGCAATGAAGGGCTGAGGAAAACTCCGCGACTTTCTATTATCAGATCATCAGTAAATGTATCCAACAGTGGAACGAACTCAGCTGAGTCTTTAGCACAAAGAATTGTTTTAGAAAAGGATGGTGAGAAGAGGGCACAGCTTATCAAAGAATACGTCAGCGTTTCAATGGCTGAATGGACTGGAAATACTTCGACCTCAGAGACTGATCTCAATACCAGCTTGTATAGCTATGGAGTTGACTCTACCGCAGCCTTGACTTTGAAGATGCAGCTTGAAATAAATCTGCCCGTTTCGTTTGAGGTACACTTTTACTCTTTGTTTTTAAGATTACCTATAATTTGTGCTCTGCAAACTAGCATACAACTGTGAGTCATTCCTCCTGGTCTGGTTTGCAGAGCGTTGGAAGGGTGTGATGAGGCATGGTGTTTTGGTCTGAAAGTACAATGTAATTTGGATGGGAACCCTACAGCTAAGGGTAGCCTTTGCCGTTTTATTTGAAAAGCTCAAAAAAGAGAACTTCCGTTGCAGGTCTTCTACTTCATGCAGCCAGACACAACTCCCCTAAAATTGGCAAGGGACATAACTGAAAAGATGAATGAACGAAGTCAAGGAACCCTTCCATCCAAGGAACAGCCTCAAAATAGTAGCAGACAAGACGCTGAACATGATGAAGTATCACCTATAAATGACGTTACAATTGAAGTATCTACTATAAATGACGTATCTAAAAGCCAAATACAAGTTGTACCGCTGTACACTCCAGAGGGCTCAGCCATAAAGTTTTTCTGTGTCCATCCGTCCCATCGTTACGCGATGAGTTTGGTGCCGATAGCAACAGGATTTCAAGGACAGGTAAACTAAGATGCTGATAAATATTTGGACAAAGTATAGAATTCAAATAAATCGTAAGTTAAAACAAAGCTATGTTAGCATTAACAGCTAGGCCTATTGTATTACCTTTGTGAAAAAATTCTCAGCTTGATAGGACACTTTATACTTCAGCCGAGTTTATTCATTTTTACGGCCTCATCTTCATTGCTAGGACTTAGTTTCCTTCTACGCAGTGGGTTACACAGACCCAGCAGCAGTGAGTGAGGATTGGGGTGGAGTGCGTGAACTTGCAGCACATTACGTTCAGTTAATAAGCAACGAACAGCGTCATGGCCCTTACTTTTTGGGTGGATATTCATACGGTGGTCTTCTCGCCTATGAAATGGCTTCCTTGTTGACGGAACATAATCAAAGGGTGGAGTTTGTGGTGATGATTGATACCTTTCCTTGGGTTCTGCACTCACGGACTGTCAGCAGCAGACTACCTTCAATGCACGAGTATGAAAATTTGCAGCGTCGGCATGTCGAGGTTAGTCAATTTCTTACGGTCGATAGAGTCTATTTAAAAGTTGTTATTACATCGACAATTAATGTTTCTTGGTCGTATAAAAATAAACGCTAAGTGTATTTGACAGACTCTTCAAAAACTGACTAAAAATTCAAAGGCCTAAAAAAAATCTTTCCGGTTATGGCGTGTCTTGATGCCTAATAGAAAACTTTTCCTTAAATAATACTATTTTGCTTGAGAGCTAATTGCAGATAATGGATACAGTTTTTAATCGCAAATGACAATGTTTGAAAAAAATTCTCTGCTATGCATCGTATTCTTAATTCTCTTCTCTTTGAACTTGAATATATAAAAAATTTCATATCCTTCATTATTTGATTTAGCCACCGAGGCGCCAATGGAACTTCAGGGAAGAGTGCCTATTCGAAACAAGGCGTTTTTTCTTTATTAAATTCAACGGCGATTCGGCCTCAGTATCGCTTTCACCGATATCAAAGATTTGGGCCATTTTTGCAAAGAGGGGCGCTTATTAACAAAGAAAAAGTCTGGGGCAGCAGTTGATCGAAAGAGGGCTATAGATCGAATCATTACAGCGTTTGAATTGGGGAGAAAGGTGTTTCAAGTGAGAGATTACCGCAGTTATCAAGGTCAAGCAAGGGATGTTTCCAAATAACTAGTCAGAGGTGTCTCCAATGTTTTTCGTTATGCTTTAGAGGCCTTGGTTAATTTGGAGCTGCGCTAAAAACTATTTATCTGTTGTGATGTCTTTGGTCACCACTCAAAAGTGTTTTTGGTTTCTGCATTTTTCAGGCTTTCTTGAACCAGCTGCTTTTAGGGATGCGCATATAACTCGATGGTACTTCACGTGTAAATCTCGCGTCTTTTATTGCTCGATGCGATGAGACTGTGTCTACCGGCATGCTTGTTTTTTAATATTACTGTAAAAACAGCAGAATTTTAAAAGTAGTTGATGACAAAGTCTAATGAAAATTTGTAATCTTTTAGTTCCAATTTGAAAATTATCTGAGAAAACTGGCAATAGAGTCACTGAAGATGACATCAGATGAATATCAAAACATGAGGGAGGAGAACACTAAAGAATGGATCGTTGATGAACTTGAAAAAAGGGGGCTTGAAAGAGGTCTAGCAATCTACGACTTGAGAACACTAAGGGAATCTCTCCTGAAGGATCAAATCATCGCCAGTAGGACACATCTGGAGTGGCAGCCCGCAGAGGTAAGGGTTTGTTTTCCGTTTATTATGCTCAAAACACTGAACCAATAGCAAAAGTAGTTACTGCAACAGTTGAAAGGTTGGTCGCGGAGAGTTTTAAATATTTCTCGTTTTCAAAAAGTGCTTCAGACGACAACCCTTTTTGTCCCCAGTACAGCTCATCTGTATCCTGTTTCGTAGTTTACAAGTGCAATACTAAACGTGCGGTGACTTTGGGTCTGGTCTGTGCAACCGGAATATACCGTTCCTTGGGCACGTGGCAAATTTCCGAAATTTCGAACTTGAAAGATTGTTGAATGGAGAGCGCCCGCTGTAAGAGAAGCCTTTTTTGAAAGTGTGCAGCCCGTCTTCTGTAATTTACGCAAAGATCTTGTACGTTAAAATTCCAACCATTTTAATAATTTCTCTCCCGTTTCATTTGTAAATAGGTCCGCTACCGAGGTCCATTGGCATTCCTCAAATGTCAAGATACCTGCTTCTCGCCCAGATCATCAGATAACGTGGAAGAGATTTGGGGCCAGTTGGTTGATGATGGAATTAATCTGTTAGTTTGCCCTGGGAATCATTATTCCATGAGTGAATCGCCTAACGCCATTGTTACCGGTAGTATCTTAGCAACGGCCCTAGCATTTAAGTACCGTTTGCTGTTTCCAGAATTCCCTAGGCCCACGAGAACGTTCAGTCAGAGACGAGCTGTGGAAAAACTCTCAGGTGGAGTACTTGTATTCCTCCACTCAAAGAAAGGTAACCAAATTTTAGTTCAATGCCAGCACAGTATAATATGTTATTCAAATGGACGCGTGAAATCGGCGTATATGCCTCAGAACGTGTCGGTACCTCGTTCCCAGGGTCCTCTCCTACGCGTCCCACGGAGCGAGATCGGGAACGAGGTCGAGCGTGTCGGCGTTAAGTCGGCGTTCTGGCGAAGGAACAGCACTGAAAAGTCATTAACTCGGTTGAAAGAATTTATTGTAAGTCCATTTGATGAGCATTTATAGAATAAGATTTTAAAAATCCACATAGATAAGAAAAGAACTCATTGTAGCAGTTAAGGCCCCATTTTCCCTGCAACCCAGGTTTTGCCAAAGGCATACTCTATCTGACTATATATAAAAAGAAAGAAAAAGAAAATAAGAAAAAATCAAGGATCAAGAATCACTATCGTTCTTTCTCCTTCTGTTAACTTTACTTCACTTTCGTGTTGGGGGGAAGTGGAGTAAACGTAGGTATCACACTTTTTGTCAATGGTCAATCCGGTCCAGCATTTATGTTATATGATAATTATACGTCTTGGTTCTGTTCTTTTCGAGTAATTGCCGTCAGGGTCTCACTAAGTAATTTACATTTCCCCTACCTTTTATTCAAATATAGGGCACAAAAAGCCTCATTTTGGAGAACTACATTTCAAGGAGGATGTTCACAAACTTGAATTAACATCACAAGCCGATGAAGGAGAGACTCGGGAGACAAATAAAACCAAAAAGATGATTGACTTGAAAGGTATCAGCGTTAAAGATAACTATTTTTTCAATTTTGTGCGTTTTAATATGGTCTTTTAATGCCTTAGTTAAGCCAAGCTAACTGTTATTGACACCATTCAAGGGTGATGCACCCAAAGAGCATAGGCTATGAGTTCTTGTGCTCTCATGGCAAAATCAGGGTTTTTTTCATCAGCTTGTACGTTGTCCTGTATCTGTCAACGCCAGAACGGAGATCGAATGGTACAGAATCCTTCACATAAAACACTTGACAAACAGTTGAATAAAGAATGCGTGGATTCATGTTCTTAACTTGTTACAAAACCGTGTAAGGAGTTTTTGTAGTCTTTTCTGCGCTTCTATTCAAATGTAACCTACATTTACAAAAAACACATGTAATTTAAAGACGTGGGAGTTTCTAATCGGCATTGCCGTCGTCTGTCACGTTTCAGGAATCTTTTTTATAGCCGAGAAAGCCTTACGCGCTCGTTAGAGCAGCGGCGCTTATCTGGGACGGTGCCATTAATTGGACAATTGAATGGCTGGTTCGATTGCACTTTTAAACTAAGCGAGTAAGTTTTTCAGCTTATGTTTGTGATCATCAACTCTTACAAAGATCCTCTCTTTTAAGATCTCCTTATGGTCCAACCAGGGATGTTAGTCGCCAATGCTAGGAAGTATGCCGGCCGAAAGCGAAGAGTTGGAGCATATCGCAGTGGAAACCTGAGGCAAATCGCTTCTGTTATTACAAGGAGACGTGTCTACAATTTGGAATTTACTGATTATTCGGATTTAAAATCCTTCTACAACATGATCGAGGCTGTTTTTGCAGTCCAATTGTTGTCGCGCTAGATATGATAGAAAACGAACTTATTAAGGGCCCAAGGAAACACTTCAGAGCGCGGCACGATGCTATTTGGATGGTCCTCAAGTGTAGTGAAAGAGGTTAAGCTTAAGGGAAGATTGCTCTCCACGGATGAACTTCTGCCTGGAGGCGTATACCTTCCTCTTCATCATCCCAATTTTAGAAACTGAAAGCGATTTTCTACTCTCTTGATTTGCTTGGAAGAATTTTTGTAGATTAAGGTACTCCAAATTGGACATTTTTTAAGTTAATCTTATTTGCCTTTACAGTAAGCGAATGCAATATTTGATTCTGCTGTCTAGAGATATTCTAACTGAATATTCAGATTTACCCTGGTAATATAAGGGAAGAGATAACCAAATAACTGAAATATAGATAAAATGAACAACTAGACAAGTATAGCATAGGAAGAGTTACTGAGAGGAAAAACGCAGCTCCCTGATAGTTCATAAATATAAACAACAGCAACAACAAAAGCACAAAGAGTAGAGGTACAAACTAGAAGAAGCAATTCGCTGAAGTACTGATAAATTAAAGAAAGGGGGTATCTGCCAGTGGACGGAAATCTAAAGTTACGACAAATTCAGATTGGAGGGTCTGGATGGGGTTAAGTGTTATTCGCCAGCAATTTTTAGTGTTTGCTGTTAAATCGGCCAATTTTTTAATGTTTACTGTTTCCGGAGAAAATACTGTTAAGTGTTTGAAGGGTTTTCGTGGAAAACCCATAGTCTTTCAGCTCTGCTCAAACCACCAGTGAACTTTGAGCCCATGCTCAAAGGGGCAGTAGCTGTAGTCTCGTTTTTCCACCCATTCGCAACAGTATTCTGGGGAATACTTGGTACCAATCTCGTGTCAGGAGCCCACGATCCTTTGGTCAGCGTCGAGGCCGAAGGCGGCATCGAGTGGATTCTCCTCCGGTGTTGTCAAAGTTCTAGTGAGCTTCTGT